GGGAGGGGCGTGAGGGAGGGAGGAGGGAAGATGGGGATGGAATACCAAGGAGGGGGTAAAGGAGTCAGAAAGTTATTGGATCATATGACAAGGCCAGAAGGGAAGGTTGTGAATTTGAGGGTGGCAATGAGAAGCAGAGAATGTTGGGTGATGAAAGCTTCAGGCATGCAGCCTTGGGGCTCAGTATCCTGACTGTAACACGACGTAGAGGATCAGACGATCAGATGACATTTGATGGAGTTCAGGAGGAAGGATTCCGAAGGAACAGAAACTTGATTACCTGCAAGAGCAACCGAAATCTCGTCGGGAGAGATCATTGATATAGGGAGAAGGCTGTTCACACTCAAACACCAGAACCATCTGCTCACAAGCAAGCAGCAATCTGGCAGGATTGTCTGTGTATCGGTTTCCCTTCAACGTACAGTTCGCTTTTTGAAAGAGTGCCACAGCTGACTGCAGAAGTTTCAGTGTCACTTCTACGGATAGCTCCTTTTCGTGTCGGTGTCACTTCTACAGGTAGTTCCTTTCAAAGAGTTTCAAACAGATACAAGCTCACGGAAGTCCAGGTCATGGCGAACCATGGAAGGTAAGTTTTGCGAGGGGATCTCGATCAGGAAAGAGACAGCGTTTTCCTATATATATATTGGGCTGAATAAGAGCGCACATAGGACTGGAAGTGGTGCAGTGGAAAGCGACACAACTGGAAGTGCCGCAGCGGAAAGCGACACGGATTACGTGCAATCTGAGAGCTCTGGTGGTGAAAGGAACAAGCAGGAATGGTAGCAAGCTGAGGACAGCAAGCACTGTTCGGGACGTGCTATGGGCAGCATGGTGCAACCTGGAGGAAGTGCTAAGAAGGCAAGGGAGGAGAGAGTTGATGGGGGGACAAGGAACAGAACACTGTGCAGGTGATGAGGGCACTTCCAGGCAGAGAATGGAGAGAGCAACTAGGATGGGGAGAGAGGATAGTGGAAGAGACACGAGAAGGAATGAGAGCTCAGGGAAGTTGCAGGTAGTTTCAATGCGGTTTCATCAGGAGAGGTCGAGCGCAAAGGTGAGGCCTGGCGGTAGCAGAGCGAGTGGAAAAGGGGGAAGTGTGCATCAAATAAGAGGGCGAATCGCGATTTACGGTCATGTCGAGGCAAACAGACAGAAGAGGTGAGACAGAGGAGAAGACAGGAAAAAGTGCAGAGGGGAAATGATAAGAAAAAGTGATGGATGTGAGAGCCTAGCATGATTACCAGGCAAGGGGAGAACGAATCGAAAGCTTATTCAGAAGTTTCAGCGGACAGGCAAATGCTCGGATCGGAAGTGCTCCAGTGTAAGTGAGCTTAGTGGAGCAAAGGAAGAGGAGGTGAGGTAGTGGAAGAGGAGGAGAGGAAGTGGAAGAGGAGGAGAGGAGGAGATACTAGAAACAAGCATCGAGAGGGGAAATGAAAGGGAGTGATGAATGAGAGAGCCCAGCATGATTACCAGGGCAAAGGCATTTCGGCGGCGAGGACGAATGGAAACCTGCTGAAGTTTTGGAGGAAAAAGCCAAATGATGTGCTGCAATAAATGACCTTATGGTGGAGTAACGGATGCGACCTCGTCCTTGGGGACATCCGTTAAAATTGGAACGATACAGAGAAGGGTAAATTAGCAAATGGGCCCTGCGCTGTTAAGGAGGACACGCATAAATCGGAAATGGTCCAAATTGGCAAATTCAACAACAACAACAAGAAAAAAAAAAAAGAAGGATGGGACCTCAGTACCACTTCTCCTAGCATACCATCGGGAGGGCACGCCTTGACAGAAAAGTGCCAGAGATTCGTTGTTCCGACTTTTTTGTTCATTAAAGTTGATTAAACTTCATTTAGTATTATAATAATAATTATATCTACAATTCTACATGCGAATGATGTTGTTCAGCGAAAGTGCCTCAGGGGAGGAGGAGCCAGGAAAAGACGCATCAGTTAAATTAAATCACTGACAGGAGCGGTGAGCAGATTAGAGATTCAAAGGCAGGGACAGACGTAAACGACCCGTGCCGGTCCGATCCTACATTGCGGATTTCAGCCGCTCGTTGATGAAGGTGAATTACATAGCCGTGTAGGGCTGCACAACTGAGCACTAGATGGAGGGGTGATAGTAGGTGTTTAAGGTCCTCTGGATGAAGGATGAAAATAAATTGCATTAGATCCGAGAGGAACGGAGAGAGAGAGAGAGAGAGAGAGAGAGAGAGAGAGAGAGAGAGAGAGAGAGAGAGAGAGAGAGAGAGAGAGAACGAAGATGCTGGCAACGGTCTCGAAGCACTGTTTGACTCATCATGGATCATTGGTAGGTACTCTATGACTGTTTGTTCAGTGTGTGTAGTACTGTGTACATACCACCTATTATTATGTACATAATAACTATAGATAGACTTATTATAATTATTATTATAGAAAATAACTATAGATAGATAGTCTTATCTGCAGTGGCTCGGCGTAGATCAAATAGGTGTCATAGGATTGTACATATGAATATTAAAAGAGGTATCTTTTTAACTTTTTGAAGTTTTTAAAGTTCATATATGTCACTTATCCAGTCCTCGTTTTCTTTAATTTTTCTTCGTTCTCACCTTCTTTGTTTTTAGGGATTTTTTTTTTTTAGTAGTTTTTTTAAATACTTTTTTCAGGATTTGTTTTATCTTTTTTTTTTCTTTCTTTGACTACTTTCACTGTCTTTCAGCACATTGATGCCTAATACTGTAGATTTTGACGCTTTCGAGGATAGCGAAGCCAGCTTCTCTCTTGGTGATCTGAAACTACTGGGAGTGATACTGATTTTTTTTTCCAAGCTCCAAATTAAATTAAATTGGTCTGAGACTCGCTCATAGATGAAATCCTTGGGAGTGTTCACAACTTCACATGGCCTCATCTGTCATCTTTTCCAGACAGTCATTCCATGACATCATCACAATTTTTGGCCATTTTGAATTGGACATTTTTAACATGATTGGAAAATCCCAGGGAGAAGCTACAAAGAACACAAGAATAAAAACTAAAAACTTTTTGAGTGTTCAGGAACTTCAGGCCCTTCAGCGCCTTCCCGCCTCCCCTGCCAATGCTGCCACACTCCTGTGCAATATTTTTTTTTTCCCACTTGAATTGGATGAGATGCTTTGGTCTTTTGTTTAGGTCATGGCCAAAAAGCCCTATGATGTAGTGAAAAACTTTTTTTGGAGGAGTAAAAGGGTTCTTTTCCGGTTGCAGTTTTGGTGGAGTGCATTGTTTTTTTTTGTTTTGTTTTTTTGAGTGCATTGTTTAGGTTATTTTGCTTTGGCAGTTGTGCTTCAGTTCTATTAGCTTGGGGCATGAATGGGTGAGTGCTAAACTGCAGTAGTCCATCCCAGAAATATACTATTCGTCAAGGTGCAACATATGGACAATGCGCAATGACCGCATCCGACAAGGCAGGGCGGTTACAATGGTGGTGGGGCTACGGAACAGAGTAATGGGATGCTTAAGCAGAGAAGAAAGTCAGGATACGAGGCGACGGGGTTTTGGAGAACATAGGAGAAGTACCCGCCGGGCCGCCGCTAGTGGCTAAGGACCCGCAGTCGGGCAGGTTCACTTTTGGGCCTTTGCTTCAATGATATGCGGCGGACTTGGGCGAATTATAGGCCCTGGGCATCCCGGCGTTAGTGTTCCAGGGGGGGAGGTTAGCTTCTGGTGTACTCTATCTAATCCAAGGGATAGGGCCGGGGTGCTTTTGATTTCGTTAGTTTTGTATAGGCTGCTCGTGGGGTAGGTGTACCCTAGGGGGGAGTGGGCTTCAATACTGGGTATGGGGAACTACCTTCTTCCCCCGAATACAACGTACGGTCATTATAGCTGTATTTGGGGCATCTTTCAGTCTAAATACAGCTATAATGACCGTACGTTGTATTCGGGGGAAGAAGGTAGGTTGGTAGGGAAGGTTTGGGAGCGGGAGAGACAATGGATCAAAATTTCAACAACAACAAAAAAAAAGTGGGGGGGGGGGGCTTAATAAGGGCACTTAGCAAAAGTAAGGACCTCAGGGGCTCTGTGGGACCGGGCGGTAATGCTGATCCGCGGATTGCTACCGTCTTCCCCCGAACACAACGCACCCCCATTTTGCCTGTATCGGGCCGGAAACCTACCTTGTATACGTTCATTTTCAGGGTGCGTTATGTTCGGGGGAAGACGGTAGTAACTAAATGAGTGCTCGAATCGAGAGGCGCGCATAGTGCTAGGAATAGGGGAATACGTATTATGTAATCTTTGTGGAGACTCTAAAAGGCCAGGAGACGTATAAGAACAGGGACAATGTGGTTGGTGTTGTGAGGCCTGGAGACTGTGACAATGCCGGGGAACAAGGGTCGCCTCCTCCTGCTGCATGCCTAATGTGCAGTGGGTACATAGGTCTGTTTCCTGGCCATTCGACATGCCCTGGGTCGGGGACGGTGTGGCTCCCCGGGACACTGCCACAGTCCCCCCTGCAGAGTCTCTCGGATGGCAGGGGATCGGGTTGGTCTGCTCTGCTGATACCATGGAACCTGTTCTTTGTGAGGGCCGCTGGACCCGATTTCCAGCAGGTGCAGCTCCCCAACAATAGGCTGGAGCTTTGTTTTGCATACAAACAAAAAAAAAACCGGACGACTCAGCCTCAGTCTCTACTGTGTTACTGGCAGATTACTCATCTCAAATTGGCTACAGGCTGCACTCCAAAGCCTCAACGCTTCAGATTCATGCCTGGGACTCTTGAAACAGACAATCTAGGAAAATGCAGATGCAGGAACTGGGACTCAGGTGGGTCAAATCCTTTATCTGCACTATTCTAGAGATTCTGGAAGTTAAACTGGCAGGCCTTCAATAGCTCCCCACCTACACCACTGTGTGCCCACTGCTGCCTGGTGTGCAGACAAGGGAATGGAAGTGTCAGTCACATGCGACGTTTGCCCACATCAGTCCGTAGAGGATTCCTCCCACCTGTGGCGGGAATGCGTGATCGCCAGGGGGTTTTGGGAATGGGTGGACAGACTCTGGTTCGCAGCTTACGGAACTTGTTCGTACTGGTCAAAATCCGTAGTTCTCTTTGGAGATCAATCCTTCTCTGCTAGATCAAAGATTGGTAACAAATTCCGTGTAGTAGGCTTTTGGACACTTTGGATGGCTCGAAGGGATCGCAGATTTAACAATGTCTTCTGGACAGTCTCGCGACTACCGAATACCTTTAAACTAGCAATCAGAAACTTGATTTTAGCTGAGTGGCGAAGAGTTAGAAATAGTCTACCAAAGGGCTCAGACGCTCAGCAGCTTCTTTTAAATCGCTGGGCCTCAGAGTTCCGTTGGGTTAGCTTTTCGGATAATAAGCAGCTGGTCCTGTCTCGTCATCTCTGGGATGAGAAGGAGGACAGGGTCCTCCCTCAAAACCCCGAAGCTCTCTGGCTATGATTATGCTATCCTTTTTTCCCGCTTTGTTCAAGGGACGCTGGACCCGTTTTCCAGCAGGTGCAGCTCCCCACCAATAGAGAGGAGTAATCTAAGGGTGTCCCTCAGGCAGGGTGATGCTCTTACCATCCTCTGCCTGAGGGACAGCCGCCTGATTTTGAAAAAAAAAAAAAAAAAAGACTAGTTTTCGTCAGTGCAGGAGGACACACACACACGCAGTGGTCATTAAGAGAACAGACAACGTATAAGTGAAAGTGTGCGGACACTGCCGAGTACTAAACAAGACCATCCCTCCCCCTTTATTCTGCGTCCCTTTCATCACGTGCAAGTGGGCCGTTAAACCACCGGTACCTACTACCTACCGGTTGGGGCGGCCGTTAACACGGAAGCTGAATCGGCCTGCCCCTCCGGTCCAAATTCATTTCAGGCTGGGGGGTACGAAAAATGCTGTAGGTACTGGTGGTTTAACCAGACAGGGATGTGGACAGATGGCGCTCAACCACAATCAGTGTGGCCAGCCTTGTACATCAGAGGCACAGTAAAAACGGGCAGCAAGAAGGGGCACCCGCCCGACTTTCAACAACAACAAAAAAAAAAAAAAGGCGGGCAGCAAGAAGAAGATGTATATAAAAAAAAAAGGGCCAGTTGGCTATATATGCCAT